ACCTTGAACCAAATATTACCGGCAGATCTTGCCAAGCCATGCTCAAAGACCTTGCCGTTGCAATATCTCCTTGCTAACGTATCTCTTACTCGCTGCCCCAATGTCATCTACTCGACGTCCCGTGCGCTTGCAGAGGTGTCATGCGTACATCCGTGGCTTTCTGAAATCAACGTCTCGCCCCTCAAACAAAAGACTGCATGCATCATGTGGCAACGCTGTCTTAACACTTCGAATGCAGTCCCTCTTGGGTGTCACAAGTTCGTGGGATCCAGTCAACGCCATCATAACATAAACGAGCTGCAATACAATTATCGCTCTTCTCGCGTCGCTAGTGCAAGTAAACATGCGAACAACATTGCTCTCTGAATACTTTCGGGACATACATTCTGCGAGAAAGTGGGACGGACAGATGGGTCGCATGGGTCGTGGGTCCGCGACCAACACCGGCATCGGAGGAAGGACCACAAAGCAAGTGCTGAGGCAAGACGCATTCGGAAAGAATGGGGCACGCCGCGCTGCCTCTCCGTCCACAAGATGCCGCTGCCTCAGGGGAACTCTGACAAATATCAGGGGCGCAAGCACAGGCAAAGGGCACCGACATCTCGGATCAGATGAAGCGATAGCAACGGTGGCAACGGCGATGCGATCAAATCGTCCTTCTGGCCAGACGGTCGCTGGATAATCGCGGCCTGGCAGTAGAGGCCAACGCAGCTGCCAAGGTCGTGGCACAAGCGGCACGGGCAACAGCGCGCGGATGATGGCAGTAGCCCAGACGCCAGCGTCACAGGAGAGCCAACGAAGACAACATGGCGGCAGTAATAACGCAGGCATAGCAAGAGCCACGGAGCACACCAGGAGCAGAGAGGCATCATAAGCAGACATATGAGGGGCTGCAGAGCGGCGGGCGCTGCAGAAGTGACCAGCGCTCGGCAAGAAGCTGCTGCGACCAGCCGACGACGGGAGGGCAAACTCAGCGCACACAGTGGCCAACGACTCAGATCTCGCCATGCCGAGCCGCACAAGTTTGACACATTTTTTCATCCCGAATCGCTTTCTGACAGCCCCGGGGCATGGTGAGGGCCCCGGAGGCTGGAAACTGCAGAAACGCCGTCCGCCGTGCTTTCTCACAGCGAGAGGGTGGGGGACGAGGACGGTGGTGATCGCAGAGGCTCGAGCAGCGCTCACTAAAGGAAGCCGAAGACCGGCGCGCGCCTTCGACGGCCCGGGAGTAGGTGGACCAGCCGGTGCGGGCGTTCTGGCCGGCGGTCCGCCCTTTTGAAATGCAACGATAGGGGGGGATATGGATAGGGGGGGAAACATCGAACTGGAATCGGCGATACGTCGCCGATGGATCGGCGATGGGCCTCCAATTGTGCATCCGCACGTTCTTGGGCAAATTGGGGCTATCGGGACCACTATCGGCGATCAATGGGCGATTGGGGGTCGATGCATCCCCCCTATGCCTACCCCCACCCCCTATCGTTGCCCCTGACCTATGATGCCGTAGAGGTTGGGCCCCCAGAGGGTGCCGTACGGGTTCACCCCGTCGCGGCGGATGGTGTGGCATTGGGAGCAGTGCTTCTTGAAGAGGGCCTGAGAGCACTCCCGCCTCCTCCTCCTCCTACTCCTCCCTCCTCCTCCTCCTCCTTCTCCTTCCTCTTCCTCCTCCTTCTTTTCTCCTCCTCCTCCTCCCACCTCCTCTTGTGGCATGAACATCACGACGGGAGGTTTGGGCCACTCTTTCGGTCCCCCAACGGCCCTCGCCAGGCCGTGGGATCACGTAAAAGAAAGGGCCCGGGATGCACATTTGGTGCTGGGGAAGGGGCCTTGGTCTCTGGGCGTCCACGCTGTGAACACATCACGATGTCGGACATCTGGGCACTCGGTCCAATAGATACGGGGTCGCACGGAGAGGTTCCGCGCAGGGCATCCGTAAAAAACGCCCCGTGTCCACGGGATCACAGCCCAGGGGCCCGGTCAACAAGGCCGTGAATCTAGATTTTCCTTCCGCTTGCGAATCGCTCCCTCGGATTGGCGCGCTCTCCGCGCCGGGGAGGGGGGTTCACCGCCGACCCAGAAGCTTTGTGCGGACCTCCGAAAATCATGCTTATGCCATTTTTCTCCCCCGAGCAAAGCTGACAACCTCTCTCGCACTCTGCCTGGACCGCAGCGGGGGAAACCAACGGACATCGATACCGCTGCTTCCGGACCTCTCCCGGGGTGCGCTCTCACCAGACTTTCGAGGCGAATCCAGCCGTGGCGACGAGAACCTTCCAGGAGGCCCCCCAAAAGTGAACACGACGGACGGGTAGCGGTATCGGCACCTTCCCCAGACCTTCCCCAGGCACCTTCCCCGCCCCCCCCCAGCGTCGACCCCCAGAGGCCTGGACCCCTTCACGGGAACCAGTGTTTCATCCTGATTTTTTTTTGACGGTCCTGGGGCCAGGTGAGGGCCCCCCGGACACCGAAAATGGCGAAAACCCCCCCGTCGTGGTTTCTTCGCAAAGCGAGGGGGTCTGGGTCTCCTTCTCTGAACTGCAGCCACTCGTGCGGGCTCCGTGTCGTCGGGCCGGCTCTCCAGGGCCCCCCCCGATGGTCCGAGAGCGCTCCCGCGGGGGCCGCAGTGGGCTGGGCCGAGAGCCGTGTGGGCGGTGCCCTGCTGGAGCATCGGCATCCCTGATTGGTGGATGGTGGTGGAAGAGGAATAGGCGGATGAGGAGGGGGAGGAGGAGGAGGAGGAGGAGGAGGAGGAGGAGGAGGAGGAGGAGGTAGAGGAGGAGGAGGAGGAGGAGGAGGAGGAGGAGGAGGAGAGGAGGAGGAGGATGATGATGATGATGAGGAGGAGGAGGAGGAGGACAAGGAGGAGGAGGGAGGGAGGAGGGAGGGGGGAGGGAGGGAGGGAGGGAGGGAGGGAAGGAGGGAGGGAAGGAGGGGGGGAGGGAGGGGGGGAGGAGGGAGGGAGGGAGGGAGGGAGGGAGGAGGGAGGGAGGGAGGGAGGGGGGAGGAGAGGATGATAGGATGAGGATGAGGATGAGGAGACATTCCCTGGACATTCCCCTGACGACAAAGTCGAGAGTTGCCGCGCCGCCGCTCGCCGCCCACCTCAGGGCGTCTTCGAGGCGGCGGCGACGGCATCGGCGGCCCGCGGGCGGCCTGGCCCCGCGCCTGGGGGCGCGTCGGGCCTCGCCTGCGGCGCCCGCTGTGTTCGCCCGCAGCAGGGCCCTCCTCCTCCAGCGGGCGAGGCGTGTCTCCCGCACAGCTGCCCCTGGGCCAGCCGCCCTCCTGCGGGCGCTCCTGGCGGGGCTGGCCTCCGCGCGGGTCTCCTCGCTCCTATTGGTGGCTGGGGCGGCGGTGCGGGCTCCGCCAGGAGCTGCCTCAGCGTCGCCAGCGGCAGCACCTTGGGCTTGGGCGGGCTGCGTTCCCTGGCCGTCACGGCTGGGCTGGACCTCGCTCTTTCCCTGGCGGCCTCCAGCGCCCTCCTGGCTTCCTCACTTCTCCTCTGGCTGTCGTCTGGCTCGACCTTCTTGAGCTTCAGGATTGCCTCCAACGGCTGGCGCTGTCTCATCCTTGCTCTCGGCGCCGCCGCCACCTCCAGCAGCCTCGTCGCCCTCACCTCTGCCTCCTGCTCGCCCATTTTGGGCTTGGGCGGCCTCGGCGGGGAGCGTGTGGCGGCACCTGCAGCCTCCTGGCTTCTGGCAGCTCGCCGCCCCGCTTCACTCCGCCTCTGGTGGGGTCCGCCGTGCCTGCCCAGCGCGTCCGCCTGCTCCAGCGTGCGTCTCCCAGCGTGGGGCTCGCCCCTCCCATTATCCCTCCTGGAGGGGCCTCTGGGCACTCCTGGTCCCAGGGGTGGGAGGGGGTCAGCGTGCGGGGGAGCCTGGTCGCTGTCGAGCACCGCGGCGTGGTCGCCATTCACGATCCCTCCAGCGGCCACCTCTCGGGTTCTCCTCAGGTCATCCTCGATGCTTCTGACCTCTGGCTCGGGCGAGGTCCCCCGACTATGCCTCTCGCTGTGTTCGCGGTTCACGTGGCATCCGCGGGCCAAGCCCTCCCCCTCGCGTTCAGTCTGTCGGTTTCCCAGGGTGTGGGTCCGCTCTGTTAGTTGCGAGGTCCTGTCTGCCACCATGTTGGTCACGAAGTCCGCGTCATGCTCACTGGGCTCGTCCGGGACCTCCGCCTCGAGACCTTTTGTTGACTGCTGCGGCTGCTCCTCTTCGATGTGATCTTCACGATCTGCGAAGGGGTCCTCGACCGTTTCTGACCATCCTGGTGTAACTCGAATCTCATCCTGCTTGATCTCTGGCCACATCCTCCACTCCTCTGCGCCTGCCAGCTTAGTCCAGCTCTTCAGCAGGTACCTTCTCGACTCGCAGGTGGGGCGGAGGCGGCAGGGTGCCTGCAACTTGTCCGAGACCATCTCCGTGGCGGAGCTCGCACAGAGCGTGCAGAACCAGCGCCTCTGGCGGCCCAACCATCGCAGGGGGTGCGACGGGTGCGAGGTGTGGCCGTTGAACTCGACGCACCTGCCTGCCGCTGGGGGCGGGCCACCGCACTTCTGCTCGAATCACTCCTTGATGCTGGAAAGGGCCGTCGCCGTCGTGACTGACTGGTTGCAGCACTTGCACCTCCACCCTCGTCCTCGTCTGAGCTCCACGAGGTCGTGCGTGGTGGCTGGCCGTCTGCGGGGGTCTCGCGCGAAGTAGTCTGCCTTGACCTTCCTCTGCGCTCTCCTCTGCATGACCGCGTGCCTCCTCGCCATCTTCAGCTCCTTGTTCTCCGTCGGCCTCCGCTCCATGGCGTCCTGGGTGCAGGCCGCGATGCGCGCTCTGACCAGGCTCGCCGTCGCCCGCACCCATTCGTAGCAGCCCATCTGGTTCTCTGGGATGGCATGCTGCTTGGCACCTGCATCGGCCAGTCTGTCTGCCTCTCGGTTGCCTTCCCAAGCCTCTCTCGGGATGTGTTTCTCCGTCGCCTCCGTCTCCGTCAGGTGGCTGTCCAGGTGGCGCAAAGTGATGATCTCCCTGCCACCTCCTCTCTCGGCGATGGCCCTCCGCACGCGGCGCCAGAGGTCGCAATTGGCGGCCCCTTCTGGTCTCTCATCGCGACGTGCGTGCCAGCCGACGAGGGTGATCTCGCTGTCCGTCCAGAAGGTCATGCCACCGCACGTCGGCTCCAGGCAATTGATGAGCGACCACAGTTCCGCCCTGTTGTTGGACTGGCGTGAGCCTGGCAGGGGTCCGAACTTCGCGGCCCAGGTCGGGAAATCTCTCGTGCGCCCTCTGGTGTCCAGCATCACCCAACTCCATCCGCATCTCCTGTGCCTCACGTCGCTGCTGTACTCGCCTCCTGAGCCGTCCCCACAGATGGTGAGCCGCCCTCCCTCTGGGGCTCGCAGTCTGCCCCCCTGTAGGCACTGCCCCAGCGGCGTCTCCTGCTCCTCCGTGCTGCACGGGGGTGGCACCGTCCAGGCCTTAGGCGTGAGCCCTCTGAGCCAGAAAGCTGGGGCTCCCGCCACACCTGCTTCGGCTCTCGCGACGAGTCCTGCCATCTTCTCGACCACCTCCGAGGGCTTTCTCGCAGAGCATGCTCCCCAGATGCGGTGGAAGTCGTCCCCGAGCTGCCCGCGCTCGCAGGTCTCGTCGCCCGAGTTGAACTCCTGGCGCTTCCTGGCCTGCGTCCAGGTGCCTGCGCACGCTGCCGCAAGCAGCGCCCCGTAGGTCTGGTGCTTGCCGCGCTTCCTGAAGGACTCCAGGTGCTTGATCCTATCCGTGCAGTCCACCCCGTGCTCCATGCCAGCGCCGTTGTGGTGCTCTGCTGCTTGGCTCCACAGCTGCTTCCTCGCGCTGTCCAGGAGCGCCTCGATGATCGCCTCTGGGTCTCCGTCCTCCTCGTCCTCTGGGAATCGCCATCTGCCGCCGTCCTCGTCGATCCAGATGTCAGGCCCCCTCGAGTCCCAGCCTAGCTCCCAGAGCAGCAGGATGATGCCTCCCATCACTCCTCGTCTCTGCTGCCAGCGCCGCCTCGGGTCCGTCCGCAGGAGCCTGAAGTAGACCCTGGGCCAGGCCTTGCGCGCCTGTTCCCTTAGGTCCTGGCTCTTGGCCCACAGGTCGAACCAGGCTCTGGGCTGGCTCCTCGCCATGGCGGCCGCTGGGTCGACTCCCTCCAGCTCCAGGAAGGTGGTGAGGCATCGCCCAGGCCACGCTCTCCTCAGAGCCTGCGCATACCTCCTTCTGGCGAGCCTGAGGGCCCACGGAGAGAGCCCGTGGGCGGCCACTCCGTACACCAGCGAGGCTGATGCGCCTTGGTGTGTCACGCCACGCCTCCTCTTCAGCTTCAGCTTGCGCAGCTTGAAGCCGACCGATCCGAACCTCTTGTACGCATCATTGGCCCTCTTCGCATGCGTGGGCCTCCTGGTGGTGCCTCTCGCAGCGCGGTCAGCTCCGAGGTCTCTGCCCTCTGTGACCGCCTTGACCTTTATCCCAAGCTGGTTGGGCCTGGACTGCACCTGGAGCGTGGCGCCGAAGTCCGAGGTGAAGATCAGCGCCTTGTCTGCCAGGCTGAGCCCGTGCTGCTCCAGCCCCCACTTCAGCTTGCTCGTGGCCGTCGTGAGCTGCTCCGTGACCGCCTCCTTGCTTCCGACGGCCTTGATGCTGATGTCGTCGAACCAGGCTCGCGGCATCGGCTTGGGCAGCGTCGATGCGACGTCCATCATGTGGCTGAGCACCGCGTAGACCACCGTCTTGGCCACGTTATTGGAGTGTCTCGAACCCGCCTGGATCGATCTGTCGGCCAGCATCGGCTCCGAGTACGAGTTCTTGCACCTCAGGATTCGGGCTCCTGAGTGCTGCAGAAGCAGCATGGTGAGGAGCCTCGGGCAGAAGTTCAGCTTGAGCGCCCCTGGGATGAGGGTGTCGATGCCTAGGCTGTCGTAGGACTTCTCGATGTCTGCCAGCGTGCATCCCTGGAATATGCCTAGCGCGTCGCAGCACTCGTCCGAGAGGGTACGCCTGAGCGCCTCCCTCTTGCAGCTGTTACCTGCCACCGCCGCGTCCCACTCGCGCTCCTGCTGCTTCGCCCACTCCCTCACTGCGGGCCTGTGGAGGAGCTCCCAGCAGCGCACCAGCTGCGGGAGCAGGGCCAGCGCGCGGTCGCCCTTGGCTGGCTTGGGGAGGATCATGACCAGCGCGTTCAGGAGCTGCCAGGGCCACATCAGCTTCAGCTCGCACTCGTTGAACAAGTCTACGATGGCTTGTCGCCCCGCCGTCGGAAGCCGACGGATGTCGCTACAGCAGAGCTTGTCTACTCCCTGGCCCCTGTCGGGCTCCCCCGCGAGGGCGAGGTTCAGGTCGTCGACAGTCCACTGTGGCGCGTCCACGGCTGCCGCTCGCCTCCTGGGGTCCCCGAGCAGCTGCGTGTGCGTGCCGTGGGCGGCCTCCTCGCACCTCCAGATCTTCGCGGATGCCTCAGCCTTGGCGTCCACGATCTCCATCGGGCTATCCGTCACGCCCCTCTCCATTGCCAGCTCCTCCTCGCGTCTGATGGGTGGTTTGGTGATCCTGTGGAGTACGCCTCGCTGCTTCTCTGTAGCGGCTAGCCACCGCCCAAAGCTCCGCGTGCTCTCCCTCAGGTCCCTGTTCACAGCAGCTCTCCTCTCCTGCTCGGCCTGCATGGCCATGCCCTCGGCGATAGCCACGTCGAGGTCCTCCAGCGCCGCAAGCCTCTGCCTCCAGATGCTGCGGTGCAGGCGTGCCGTCTCCGAGGCCCCGCGGCCTGCCTGGGGCATGCCGTCGTAGGCCAGCTCTCGTCCTGCACGAGCGAGCTCCCGCTGCTGCTTCGTGCCTCTGCCTCTCCTCCTCAGCTTGGCCATCATGGTGAGCAGGACCTCGGCTCTGGCCCGCCAGTCGGCGCTGTGCTCGCTGTACTTTAGCCTCCTCTCACCGCACTCCCTGGAGTTTGTGACCTTGAGCTCGTATGCCTTGCCGCGGCCCATGAAGTGGTGCCTATCCACAAGGTCGATTCGGTAGGCCATGCAATAGAACCTCTCCATCGTGCCGATGGTGTTCGCGAAGCGGTCCCCGAGCTCCTTCGCCGCCTCCGCGTCCACCTGGTAGGCCGCGCAACTGCTGATGTAGGGGGGATCTCGGAGGACTCGCTCTGCTCCTGGTCCTGCAGGGCCTGCGCGGTCTCCCAAACGTGGGCCATGGTGGTGGTGTCCACTCCATCAGCTGCCGCTCGGATTCTTCTCCTCAAGTCATCCCCGTTGCATCTGCTTTCTGGCTCGGGCGAGGTCCCCCGACTTTGCCTCTCGCTGTGTTCGCGGCTCTCGTGGTATCCGCGGGCTGAGCCTTCCCCCTCGCGTTCAGTCTGTCGGTTCCCCAGGGTATGAGGCCGCTCTGTTAGTTGCGAGGTCCTGTCTACCACAGTGTTGGTCACATAGTCCGCGTCATGCCCTCTGGGCTCGTCAGGGACCTCCGCCTCGAAGCCTTCTGGAATTTGCAGTGGCAGCTCCTCTTCGAAGTGATCCTCGAGATCTGCGAAGGGGTCCGCGTCCGCATCTGTCCATCCTGGGTTCGCTGGCATCCACGTCGAACCTGGGAGGCCGTCCCCAAGGTTCTCATCTGACTCCTTTCCGCCAATCCTTTCACGAACAGCACCCTCGGCGCCTGGGTTGGTCCCCGCGGGGAAGCCCGTCCAGGCCGCCTCGACTGGCGCCAGCGCCTCCCGCTGTGCGCTGTCCAGCGCCAGCTCGAAGTCCTGTGGAGGTGGGCGCTGCTCAAGCTCCTCCTGGCCTCATCCTCCAGCCGCTGCTGCCCGCGCCTGCGCTGCTGCCTCCTCCCTCACTCTCCTCCTCGTCCTCTTGCTGCCTGGGCATGGCTGCTTCTTGGGTCGGGGAGGGTGAGGGAAGGGCTGGGGCATGCGCAGCGAGCGGGTCCTCGTCTCCTGAGCCTCGGCGTAGAGCGTGAACTTCAGCCCGATGTGCGGCTTCCACGGCACGTCGTAGACCGCCTCCACGCCCTTGATCAGCTTCTGCCCTTGCTCGTTCACCAGGGCGTAGTCTATCATCGACTCGTGCTCTCCCATCTGGCAGGTGAAGTCGCCGTCTGGCAGCGAGACGATGGCTGTCGCCCCCATAGCTGATGGTCAGCCTGAGTCCCACATCTCTGTCGGTGCCTTGTTGAAGTCGCCGCAGACGATCCATGCGCCGCTCAGCCCCTTCAAGAACGCGGCTAGGGCGGTCAGCTTGCGGGCGTTGATGCCCTCGGGCAGCGCCTTGCCAACGTCCAGGTAGAGGCTGATCGCCGTGATTGTCGTCCCCTTCAAGTGCCACGTGACTGGTGTCCAGTCGCACAGGTCCAGGTCGGCCTTCCACTCCCCGCTCACGTCGGTCGTCGCCTTCGTGACTGTGGACTGCCTGGCCTGGCACCGAAAACTCGAGGTCCGCAGATGTCCCCTCATGACAACCGCTGTCCCTCCGCATGTACCCCTCTCTGAGCGTGAGCTGGGTCTCGCCGCCGTGAAGCACGCCTTGTAACCCAACTTCACAAGTTCGCACTCCACGGAATCTAAATTTGAGCGGCCTACGTGCGTCTCCTGGAACGCGTAGGCGTCGTACCCCTGGCCAATCTTCTGCTTGGCCATCCACAGCCTGGCTGTGGGTCCCCAGCTGGTGAGGTTCGCGCAGAACAGTGTGCGCTCGCGGGGCTCGGCGGCGCCGCCTCCTTTGCGCCGAGCTCCGCGCGCCGGTCCTCAGGCCGCGGCTGCCCCCGCTGGGCTGCCTGCTCCTGTCTGCTCCCTCAGCTGTCTGAGGTACTCCTCTGCCTCTGCGTCTCCTCCTCCTGCAGCCGGTGGCGTCCCAGCCGTTGGTGCCGAGGCCTCTGTGGGGGAAGCTGCTGGCTGTTGGGGCTCGGCAGCTGTTGTCGCTTGCTGCGCGGGCTCCGCTGCGCCTCCTCCCTCGGCCTTCCTCTTCTTCGCCGCCAGGTGGATCGTGGCCTGCTGCTCCGCCGCCTTCAGCTTCTCCGCCGCCAGGTGTCCCTTCAGCTGCGTCGAGAAGGCCTGGGCGTTCTCCTTCATCTGGGCCACGACTGTTTTCTTCACCTCCTCCACTTGCTTGCGTCCCTCCTCGTCCAGGTCGGCGGCGGTCAGGTTCAGCTCTCGCTCTATGTCCGCTGCGAGTTGGCCCGCCGCCAGCTCCTCCACCTGGCCGCTGACCAGCTGCTCCAGGACGCCTTTCGGAGGGTCGCGCCCCTCCGCCTGGATGTCCTCGAGCTCCTTCTCCACCTTGAGCACCGCCGCCGCCTTCACGTCTAGCTTGGTCCTCGCCTCCTGAGCGGCTGCGTCTGCCCGCTTCTTGGCTGCGAACGCCGACGAGTACGCCTGGTTGGCCTCCTGCAGTGCCTTGGCCGCGATGCCTAGCCTCTGCGCCCTTGACTTGGGCGGAGGCTCTGGCACCGCGGCCTTGATCGCTGCTGCAGCGCCCTGCAGGGTCCTCGAGATGGCCTCGCCGTTGGACAAGTTCAGGTCGCCCAGCGTGTCCGTGAGCAGCTTCAGGGCCTGCGAGACCTTGTCCGCGCCCTTCGGCGTGCTCTTGGTGCTGCTGTGCTGCTGCAGCGGCCCCTTGCCGCTGTTGGCGCTTGTGCTGCTGCTGCCGCCGCTGCCTCCCCAGTCCGCCTTCGGCGACTTGGGCTTCGGCAGGGCGGCTCTGCACTTGCACTGGTAGCACGTCGCCTCCAGGCGCGTGCTCCACCACCACTCGCCACAGGCCTTGCGCACCACGTAGGCCTTGTCGGAGCCCGCCTTGGCCCCGCCCTTGACCATCTTCGGCGCCTGGCTGCCGTGGTGCGCGTCCAGGCGCTGTGCGCCCTGCAGCTGCCTCGGCCGCCTCCTCGCTCCAGCCCGCAGGCGCCGCTCCCTGCGGTGCCGGGCTGGCGAGCGGGAGCGCGCTGCAGCAGCGCGGGGTCGCCCCTCCGTGGGGCTGGGGGCTATCGCTCGGCGGGCGCCCGCGCCGAGGGCAAAATGCCTGCGGGGCCCGCGCGGGAGCCACCTAGGATGAGGAGGAGGAGGAGGAGGAGGAGGAGGAGGAGGAGGAGGAGGAAGACGAGGAGGTAAAAGCAAAAGCCCTTGGGGGGTCCATGGTCGCGAGCGCCCCCTCTCGGGGGCTTTGAAACTGGGCAGCCTGGGGCGTCGAGGCCCCCTCTCCGTGGTGGGCGGTCCTCGCGCCCCTCCAGCGGGGGACCCCGCTTGGGGCCGAAAGAGAAACGCACGCAGATCGGGCAGGAGGCGCTGCCCCCGTTACTCGGGGGCGGGGCAACCCCTGCTGAGGACCTCTGCGCTCCCCCACACTCCACAACTCCTCCCACTCCCTCCCCCCTGCCCCCTCGTCCTCTTCAGGCTGGCAAATTCTGACGCGCTGTGCTTCAGGGCAACCCCTGATGAGCGTCGTGCTGAGCACCTTACTGCTGCTGCTGAGTGCCCTTCGGCACCCCTGCAGCTGGGCACAGTGCTGCTTGACAAGCCGGCGGGCGCCTGATCCCCTTGCTGCTGCTGCTGCTGCTGAGTGCCCTTCGGCGCCCTGCAGCTGGGCACGGTGCTGCTGGGCTGTCTGGCGGGCGCAAGCGGGCAGGCTTCTCACACTTCGACCCCCTCTGTGTACTGCGTGTTGGTGCTAGGGCCGCCGATGCCGATGCCGACTGCCCACCCTGCAGCGCGTGCTGCCTCCTGGTCGTACGTTCTGACGTCGCCGCTGCTGGGGCGCTGCGTCGGGAGCGGCTGCTGCGCCATTTCCAGCATGGAAGGCTGTTCCTGCACAGACGGCTTCACGATCTTCACTTTGTGTGGTCCATCCCTTGACCGTTGGACTGGGGAACCTGCGGCGGCCCTTGGGGCTGGATGCTGATGGCGGTCTCGGCCACTGCTCCGCCGCCCATGGTGGGCGCCCCGTCCTTCGCGACCTCGTCGTGGCCCCAGCCGTGGTCGCTGTGCGTCCGCTTGCTGCAGAAGCCCTCCATCTCGTCGCACTGGCACCTCGTGTAGTCCAGTTCCCACGGGGGAAGCCCTTTGTGCAGGCGGCTCGCATCCGTGAGGTAGGCTCCGACCTCCCTGCACTTGTCGATCGCCGCCGTGAGCTCTTCGATCTGCCTCTTGAGAGGCACCGTCGTGTGAGCCCGCTCCATCTCCTCATGGCAGTTGAAGCTCTTCGAGGCGCTGGTGCGAGCGAGCGTCATGGCGACGCGGTCCCGCTGGGCGTAGAGCTGGTGCTGCACCGTGCCCGAGTGCTCGAGCAGCGTCGGGAGGAGCTCGCCCGCGCTCTGCAGGGTGCGGTGGGCAGTGGCAAGGCGGTTGGCTATAGTCCCGAAGACGGCGTCAGTCCTTCCGCTGCCTCTGTCTGCCGCCTTCTGCACAACGACGTCCTCCTTCGGCTGTGGTGTGTTCTCGCCGCCGTTCTGCTCCTGCAGCTCCTCTGGTGCCGCCGTCGCCTTCTCTGCTGGCTCGCTGTGGGGGGCCATCGTACTGTCGCTAGTGCAGTCGCTGCTGCGCGTGGAAAGAGAAAGAGAAGCTCTCTGGCTGTCGAGAAAAAAAGGCTGCGGAGGGGAGGCGTAGGTGGTTGGACGTCGGACCTTGCTGTCGGGTTGGCCGCCCCCCTTGTTGTTCCCTGTTGGGCAATGCTGGAGTCGGGGGTAGCCCCGTCGCACGCCGTCGTCGTTGAGTCCTTATAGAGCCTCCATAGCCTGCAACCTCTGGCAACCCTGCGTGGCCCCCCTGACGTTCTTCCCGCCGTAGTCGCGAGCGCGATAACTCCCAGTGCCTCGGGCCTCCGTGTGGGCCTTGTAGAGGGGCAATAACCTGTGGAGCCCAAAGGGCGCCTGTACTCGGAGTGGCTGCTACTGCCTATGGGAGGTTACGAGAGCCGAGGTGGGATCGCAGACGCACCGCGGTCGTTGGTGATAAGCACCCTTGATTGGTTACCAGCTTCCCCGCATAGTTGCGCACGGCCTCTGCGGTGAAGTTGGCGAATAGCTCAGTCGCATGCGCCTACTGCCTGTGGGGTAAGAGGAGGGGTGCATGAAAACATGCAAAAGTGGATGTCATGGGGCGCCGGCGGTCCGTCCGTAGTAACGGCATGTTGTAATAAGAGACCAGCTTGCCTGTTGTTTTTCCATCGTCTAATCGTGATTCCTGGGCCGTAAGTTCCGGTAGTAACTAGCGAGCAGGAGTAGTGTGGCCATGTATCCCCCATGGGCTTGGGCCTGCCCGCGCAACTTAGTACATCGTTGCAGGTCGCTACTATTTGTTCTCGAATTCTTCCTCTCGAGACTCTGGTGGGTCTGCTGGGGGCCGGGAAGTAGTGGGCCCCGACCCGCTGTCCGCTGGGGTGCTCGCGGGGCCTCGGGCGCTGCTGCGGCGCCTGCGGCTGCTGGGCTGCGAAGCGTGCGGCTGGCACTCTACTGGCCGCGGCGCCGAATGAGCTGGGCCTCCACGACTCGCTCGAGGCATCCCTTCGGGCCCGCCGAGCGGCTCCTCTCGGCGCCCAGAAATGCCGGCGTCAAAGCCGCGCCCTGCTTGAATAGTCCCCCCTTGAACCCCGTGATCTTGGTGATCTGGTCCTCCTCGATCTGCTGCTGGTGGAGCGCCGCGCGAAACGAGGGGGCCGTGTTGATCGAGTAGAGGAGCTTCGCCCTGCGCGTGCCCGTCTCCATGGCCTCGCCCGGGGGCTCGCAGCACTTCTGGATCTTGCGCTGCAGGAAGACTTCGGTGATAAACGTCATTCCGTGTGGCTGCTCCAGCTGCTCCAGGAACTCCGTGAAGCTCTGTAGGGCCCGCTGCATCGACGGGTCGGGGTCCTGCTTGTTCTTGAGCGCCTTGGTGAGCTCCTCGACTAGCGTCGCCGCCGCGTGGCCGCGAGGTGGTCCGAGTCCGCGACCTTTGCCCGCCGCCATTACCTTCCTGCCGTACTCTCGGCCCGTCTCGATCGGCGCCTGGGCCCAGTCCTCCAGGAGGGGCACGAGCCAGAACTCGCCTGCGATGTGGCTCGGCGTGCGGAGCTCTGCGGCGTTCTGGGGCGCGAGGCGCTGCAGGGCTCGACTGCTGTCTCATGGGTCTCCCTGGGCTCCGTGACCGTCTCGCCCTCCACATCCTGGGTTGCCCTGCCATCCACCTCCTGTCTTGCTCCTGCGGCTGCGCCTTGCCCGCCTGCGTTCGCCTGCTTCTGCGGGCGGGCATGGGCCTCCTGCGGGGGCGGGCGCCTGGTGGCGATGGCGCTCCAGTCCGCTGGCATCTGTTCGCCGCCGAGTGCTCTGTGCTGCTGCCCCCTTCGCCTCGCGCATCTTATCGGGCCCCGCCAGATGTGCCCGAATGTGTGTGTGCGTGTGTGGAAGGCCTCGAGGTCTTGAGCCTGGCGGTTACAGATAGGGCACGCTAACGTTCTTGGCTCCTGGACAGGGTGGTCCCACTTCCAACGATCCTGGTGGCAGATGCCGTGGTCGTGGGCTGATCTAGTAGCATGGTCGATAGCTGTCTTGCGGTCAACACAAGTACTTTTGCACCAGGGGCGCTGGTTTGTAGTTGCGACTGATGCCACCGCGGGTCGTCTATTGTGGGCTTCCCGTCGGAGGCCCGCCAGGGCCGCGTAGGTGGGGAAGCGTTGCCCGCAAGTAGTGTCGACCCCCTCTGCATCTGTCGCAACGTGGTCACACCAGTAAGGTCGTACTAAAGCCTCCTCCTGTCCCTCCACCAGTTCCTCCCCCCGCCGTGTCAGAACATCGCAATTTCTTTCAAAACTGCACAGGGCCCTGGGGTCAGTTTGTAACCGGGGATTTTGTTCCACACTTCCCTCCTCGAAAATGGCGATCTCCGGGCCCCTGCTCTCGCGCCGCCCCATGCCCTCGCCCGCCCGTGCTAGCGTCTGCATGTCTGTCGCAAATTGTTGTTCCCAGGGGTACTGCCTGGTCCGACCCAGCTCATAGCTGTTAGTCTCCGAATGCCTCGTGAAACGTCGAGCCGAGACGATCCGAATACTGCCGCTAGTACTGCGCCATGCTTCCAACGGGCCCAACTTTGGCACCACCTATCTCCATGCCATAAACGGCACACTCGTACGTTCCATTCTCCAATAACGGAATACCTGTCGGAGGTTGTTGCATCGTATGCTTCCGTCCTCTCGTGCCCAGGACATCGCCCCGCATGCCCTTGTGCGCATGCGCTTGCCCAGTATGCTGTCAGGGCGTTCGTGTGGGTCGTAGTGGCGACGAAGGCTGTAAATCCGCAGAGCGCTGCACCTATGGCAAAGGCCATGCGCATCAGTCGTTTGATTTGTCTGGGCATGACGCTGTCCCAGAAGGTGCCGCACTGTCGCCGAGCGATGCGCGCTGCGGCGATGCGCCTAGCGATATCGCCCGCGATGCCCTGGCCCGCTGGGAGGTAAGGGCCGAGCACCCTCATCTTTCGCAGTGCTAGGCATTTGAACGTGGTGCTTCGTCGGAGCTTTCGAGTAGCGCCATAGTGTCCTTGGCCGATGATGTAGAGTAGGTGGTTGGTCTTGCTGTGGTTGAGGCCCCGCCTCCCCTTCTGCAGCGTTGCTGACAGGCGGTCGGTGGCGTCGTTGAGTTGCTCCCCGATCTGAGCCGCACTCGCTTGTTGTGGGACGGCCTGTGCGTGGGTGATGTCGCCCATGAACGTGTTGAGGCCGATGCCGTGACTGTTTCCACCAACTGGGTCGTATGTGTCGCGCAGCCATTGGTTGGGGTCGTCTCTTTCGGTAACCCGCCACTGGCGTACGTAGATGTTGTGGGCGTCGTTGAATTGTCTGGGGCAGAGTGTAAAGCCTATTTTGACGCCCGTGGTGCTCTCGGCCTCGATTTGTCCATCTGCTTTTTCGGGGCTGAATGAAAGTGGGGTGGTCGATGGCCGCCGTCGCAAAGCGCTCGTCGCGCTCGTGGGCGTCATCGAAAGCAATCGCCCGTAGGGGCGCCCTGTTGGTGGCCGCAGATGCGTCGGTGCCGTCGCAGTTGGTTGTCACTGTGCTGACCCCGCCTTGTGCTGCTCGCCATTGGGCAGCTTGTGCGCCAGGGATGCCTGGTTTATTGCTGTTTTTCTCTGCTGAGACTGTCTGTGAGCGGTGCCAATCTAGTGGGGTGGTCTGGCAACTGCGGCACTGGGTGAGGAACTCATGCAAGTAGTCATGGTACTCGCAGTCCAGCTCGCTGATCTTGGTGGTTCCTAGTCCTGCGTACGTGCCCCTGCCCACCCCGTAGGGTCGTTGCGCCCACGCAGCTTGGCAACACTCGCTTTGCTGCATGGCCCCCCTCCCCAGTTCGCTGCTCGTAGTCCATCCGCACTTCTGCAACAGCTCCCTGCCCTGCTTGAACTCCCCCTATGTAGTGTAGTGGACTAGGTCCTCCTCGTCCTTTCTTCGCCCTGCTGCTACTATTCTACGCTCTTCTAGCTGGTCGGATAATTGGGGCTGGGTTGTGGGGGGTGTAACATAGGGTCTAGTAGAAGCATGCGAGCTCGGTCGGGATGCCCCAGCCTGGCCATGCCCGCCGTTTGCACGCTCATGGGCAATGGCGTAGCATAGCCCTTTTGTCGTCGGCAGCCTGTCCTTGCAGCTCCGTGTCTATGGGTCGTCTGTCTACTGGTTCGGCCGTGTCGTCGCGATGCTGGTCTCGCTCGTGAGCTCGGTCGCTCGGTATCGCCGCAAGCCCTCCGTCTAGTGCCGATCGGCTAAGTTCTTCTAGCAACTGCGCCGTGGCCCAATTTGTTGTTGGTGCTATGTAGTACATCTGTTTCGGGCCTCGTCCGTTCCGCTGGTGCTGGATTCGTAGTCGGTTCATCTCTGCGAAGTTGCGCTGCTGGTAGGCCTCCCATATTTTCTCGACGATCTGCGCCCGTCTCTCTTTCTCTACCTTCTCTCTTACTGCCTTTAGGGCAGCACTCAACTCCTCTAGTTCGGCCTGTACCTCGTCGTACTCGATCGCTGACTTCTCGTCGGTCAGTCGGCCAGTCGTGTTCGCAGAACTTGTCGTTGTTCGAGCAGTCGTAGTCTCTGCTGTTTGGCCCTGGTAGTTAGTTCGTCTAGTTCGTCGGCCGCATCCGTCTTCGCAGATGTGGTTCGGAGTGCCTTCCTTGCTGCGCCTCCTACCAAATCCCAAGTCGCATCTGGAGCCGGTTCTGCAAGGACCTCCTCCCGCCTGCCCCTGCCCACCGCCCGCACCTCCTGGTTCAGCTGTTGTATCAGCTGGCCTCGCTTGTGACAGCTGCGCAGGCAGTCCATGGTCCATAAACCCATCCCTGCATAGCCCCTGTTGTACGCGGGCGCGGGGCGGGAAGGCGGTGGTGAAGGAGGCGAGGAGGGTGAGGCCAATTGGGACGTGGTCGCGGTGGCCTCGCATGTTGGTATTCTGTAGTCGTTTACCTGACAGGTGTAGTAGTTCGCACCGTTTCACTAGGGGGAGGCTGCCTGTAGACATAGCAATGTGGTCCACCCTGCTGGTGTACCCAACGTGGCCGT